TGCCTATATTACTAAAATACTAAGTATATTTTATGATATATATGTCGCTACTAGGTATCGCCTATAGGAATTTAATTCACGTTTAGTAATACGGTTCTTTATTTTTATTCTTTATTTTTTATTGCATTTATTACATTGTTAATATTTAATTGATATAATGGTATATGTTATTTTATCTATCATCTATAATATACTAGCTGATCCCGAGCAATTCGTTACCAGTTAAATTTACCAGCCCTAGGCCTATATATGACTCAAACTTGTTCAATTATTATTAAACTCATATACACCCGGGCATGGCAGATACCTACGATTGCCAAAGTCAAAAATTCTGCCAAAACAAACACAACCTTGTCCCCCCTTCCATCAAAAACCCTACCAACAAAAAACCTACAAACAAAAAAAAAAAACAAAAATAGATTATGGCCTAAGCTGGATCAAGTTCAATAAAAAATATAATAATAATATGTAGCAATAATAAATTGTCAGTTATTGATAAGGAGTATGTGAAGTAGGATCACTTATTAAATTGTCATGAACATCTAGTTTCATAAAGCTACCATCGAAAATTCTTACTGCTTAACGTTTTATGATATCCAAACTTATAAGTTATAAATATCAATTATATAAAAACCATTAATCGCGACCAATTGAGAACTACACATTATTTCTATAGCTTAAAAAAAGTGAATGAATACAGTACAGTTGATGAACAATCGATTTTAGTGACATGATACTATTAATTTTAGTAGATAATATCAACAATAATTATGTACGCAAACGGGACGCAAGTTACCGGTCAAATTTACTACCTGTAAAATATATCTTTTTTTGGGACGCAAGTAACATGCAGCCGTACTAACATCCGCTAAATAAAAGAAACGTGTTCGTATGTATAGATTAAGAAGAAAAACAAAAAAAAAAAAAACATAAGAAAAAAACATAAGAAAAAAACAATAGAAAAATTTCGAAATCGTGGTTCGAACTTGAGACATTTTGTACTAAAATACATAGATGTGCCACTGCGTCAATAGGCTTATCGCTTTAATAATAATTATAATTATTAAAACCAATAGCAACTATTTACAAACAAAAACTTCCATTGTAAATTTCATAATCCCTGTTGGAGCAACTCCCCGGGTTGGAATTTAAAATATTAGCCTATCTACTTCCGAGAGGTGTAATCTATCTTTGTACTAAATTTCATCACAATCGGTCTAATTCTTTAGGAATGCAAAAAAAACACACACACACTCACAAACATTGATTTTTATATAATATATAGATGAATTGCGAGAAATCAAACAACAATTCTTCAAAATTTACAACTAAAACTGTAACAATAATAACGAGTAGCAACCTTACAATAAACACTGTTGTATTTTTGACATCCAGATTTCCTACTTTTCCGGTGGATTTTCCTAACAAAGATTTAAATTTCGCTTTTATATCATACTATCTGTCACCCGCGTGATTCGCCCTAGTAGATAGATGTTTGCAAATTGTGGTGCTGTTTCGTGGCTTTACAAATTCTGTCTATCTATCTTGCAACTTTTTTTTTTATACCAACAGTTATTGAACTGTATGCAGAGTAGTGTAAAACTGTTAAAAACTTTTAATAACTTTTCCGTTAGCCGAAAAAAAATCTGATTGTTCAGCTCCTATGTAATATGATGTGGAAGCAATATCTTTTTAAGTGTAAATTATATTAAATTTTAATGTATTCCTTGAGATTCGCAGCAGTATATTATCAGATATACAATAATTGTAGTAAGGAGAAAAATAAACTGGGAGCCATTTTGTTGTAAGAGGGAAAATAGGCGGTGGGGGAAGGTAATGGTTATAGGGGAGAGATATGTGTGTTATAATAAATATTGGAGATTTTCGCGTAAGATCTCCCTACTACTGTGTTGTACCTATCTGCCTAATTATATTTGAATTACCTACTCTTATTGTATAAACATTCAAACACTTACCTCGCTGCAGCTGGTTTTCCCAAGTGGTTTGTAGTTCTTCGGGGTCGTGTTCAACAGTAGATATCACGATGACAATATATGTATTTTGGTTTATATAATCTGCAGAATTTCGTATATAATTTCTAGCTGTGACTGTCACCATATGCTCTCAAAATCCCTACATTTGTGACAAGAGTACATATAGTCTAATCGCCGACCGAATGTAATTTAAGTTAAAAGAGCACTTATTACTATACTCGTGTTCCAAAATATAAATGTGTAGTAGTGATGTAACAGGCCTATAATATGATGATAGTCACAGAACCTTATGTTTTAAAAGATCAATGGATAGGTGAGTGGAAAAGATGAACAATGTCAATTTGGCTGATAGAGAGACAACCAATTTAGACAGGCATACAGAATGCTGAAATTATCCAATATACATATATTGTATACTCATAAACGCACAGTAATGAGCACTCCTTTGGACAGTGGTGGAAAAGGGTCGTGATGTTGACTGGCGTGGACGTTGTGCATAAGTCTTTTCCTGAAAGGTACTGTCGTGAACCATGTGTATCTCCGGAATGGATACTGGCGACGAGTCAATTCTCTGTGGCCCTTATATAATATGATTTAGGTTGATACCTTCTTCTTGTGCATCAATTAATACGTGATATTAAAGTATTGATATATTTTATTATTTTGTGCCGTGCGACAAATTTATCGCTGGTAATTTATGGTTTTGTTCTGACCGAACGTCTTGATCGGAGAATTATCGAAGGGGTCTTGAAGTATATAATATATATATATTATGTATATATGTATACGAAAGAAAAATTCTAGATACCTGTTAGCCACACTTAATAGATATTACACTTAGAACTACCTATATCTTATATTTTAACAATTTATAATTTTTATAAGATCGAAAGAATCAACCGATTTATTCAAATTATATTTATTTGTACGTATGTTATATTTTATCAATTTATTATTGACATTTTTTCATAAGATCGAAAAAATCAACTGATTTATTAAAATTATAATTTATCAATTTATATTATATTTATTGACAATTTTTCCTCTTAACACCATTTGTGGAGCGGCCAAGGTTTGATTTCCTCTTTTAATTTAAGTAAAATTCTTCAAAATTAACAACTAAAACTACAAAAATCATAACCAATAGCAACCTTACAATAAACAAAAATATATTATTATTTAGTTTATTTTTTTTTCTATACAGATGGCGCTACTGTTGTTCTTATGGCATCCAGATTTCCTACTTTTCCGGTAGATTTTCCTAAAATTTTCTTTCATAATAACCTTGTCCTGACAATTACGAACATAACAAAAAAAGAATCAGCCAAATCGGTTATTCTAGATTCTAGACAATGTTTTTACTATCACTAAATTGTCATACTAAGTAATAATAATGTAAAATGTTAGTAGGTACTGGTTTATTAAATTCTTGGTGTCGATTAATTTTTCATCTGTTATTGTAGAATTGACGTCCGCATTTTCTTTGACATTAGATGAATTTTCGATCGTTTAACGAGACAGAATATACCAATAACTAATGTTCGCTAAGTAACCATCATAAACAGCGCACACAATGATGAATTAGTAAAATAATTCTGTCGGCCGCCGAGCACCGCAGCGCCGCCGTCCGACGACAATAGGCGTGTTTTGGCGGAGTAAACTGTTTAGTAAATAAAGTTTATGGTTATGGAATACGGTTAGAAAACGTTTACTGGAACGCCAAAATAATTGCTTGAACATTAATTTGTTTACTGAAATATTTCATAACATTTGATATCATAAACTTTTTAGTAACCGAACCTCAGTAAACCTTAACCAAGTCGAAATCGACGGTTACAAAATTCACTAAACTCGTTCACGAAATTAGTTACCTGGTTACAGTGACCGTAATCGCAAAAACGATACCAGTAAACAATTTACTAGCGATTAGCGCCGGTTACACCGCCAAAACACACCTATTGTTACTACATCGAGCTGCGTACGTGAGGAGATGCCTGAAAGACGCAACAGATGGCGCACATCCACCATCACATCTCGCCCTGTCACACATTTACGATAATTAAGCATAATTAAACATTTTAATCGTCTCTAAAGCTATCTATACTATAGATAATATATAATAATATATATTATAGTTATTATAATATTCTTCTTCCCGTGTGTAAATATTAAAACTCCTCCTCAACGGCTGAACCGATTTTGATTTGTTTGTGTGTGCTAGATTCATAACTGGAACAGGTAGGCCAAACCCGAGGAGGTGCTTGAACAGGTTTTTTGATATTTACGATGGAAATTTTTTTCATAAATATTTTACTATTGGTTATAGGAGAAATAATTAGTAGAAATTCAGTATTTATTTTATTATTGGTTGCCATTAGTTATTCTGAAATATCAGGTACAAGCATGCATTAAATCGAATATTCGGAATTTGCCTAACAAGGTGACTGAGTTTCACTTCTTCTAGCGAGATAAACCCAAAAGAAGTTGAACAACCATAATATTTTTAAGTTTTGTCCTTTTTTACTGTCAACGAAGTGCGTGGGATCAGCTATATATATTAATTTGAATATGGAAATATTTGTCACGCATGTTCTCTCCAACCAATCATAAAATAGTCTTGTGGTTTTTTTTAAATATGTTTTAATATGTTGTCCTTGTCGATGTGAGGTAACACGGCTAGATAACTTAGGTCACTATAATTGAGTAATTACTTATTTATAATTATTTATTTTTCTATACTCCGAGAGAAAAAATACAGACGTGTGCTCTCCCATTGTGGCGTTGAGTGGTGACGTAAATGGTAAAATAGTTTTAGTTTTTTTTATGGCTGTTTTAATAAATTATTATCGACTCTTTCTCTGAAACAACTCATCCAATTATCTTCATTTTTTTTATATAAATAGAGAATACAATAAATGTGTAAAATACAAAATAAAATATATTGTGTAATATTAAAATATAGTTCTTTAGGAAAACTGTTGTAAGAGACACGTTTTATTGTTTGGGATGAATCATAGATTTCGAATAAAGGTGACCTCACTACCTGAAGCTCTTGATAGGACTCTCAAGAACTTTAAAGTGAAAGGTCAACTTAGGGGTGGATTTGTTATTCTTTTTGTTGGTGACTTTTGGCAAATACTACCAACTGTGCCAGAATTCCCTAAAATTAATGAAATCAATTCTTGCCTCAAGTCAAAAAATCTGTGGTCCTAATTTACATCCTCAAGCTAACAACCAATATGCGGGTGCACCTTTCCGGTGACTAAAATGCACAACGATTGATTTGCATGAATACTCTTGGACATTGGAAATGGAACTTTCGAGAATAATGACAATGATAGCATGGTACAGATAGATTCGTCGATTGCAATTGGGGCTCGTGAACAATATTATTTAATCAGAAAGCATATCCTCAAATTTATCAAATTTATGATAAATGCAATGAATGGCTTCGTAAACGCGATATTCTGGACCCTAAAAACAATACTGCCATACTATCATTCACGAAAAGGTTCTTACTAGGTTCGAAGCTGATAGCAAAAATTATAATTCTATTGATACACTTACTGATCAAGATCAAGCTATATATATTCTTTCCGTATTCCATTATTAGATCCATCAAGTATCCACCACGCAAACTTGATTTGAAAATCGGTCCTCTTATTTTTCTTATGTGAAATTTGAATGCTCTCAAATTATGCAATGAAACTAGATTAAAAGTCTCATCTTTAAAAATAATATTATCAAATTCGAAATTCTTCCTGGTGCTGAGAGTGGTCAGATTGTAACATTCCAAGTCCATCTGTTCTTTTTTTCTTCGTCTAATAGAACCATTAAACGGTCCACAGCTACCTCACTTCCCGTTTGTTAATAATCATGTCATAGTAACTCGCGTTCTTTCTTCCAGCATGTATGTAACTATGTCCAGATTTTTTTATTAGATTTAAGAATCTGAGTTAATTGTCTGGGATGTGGCTTATATTATCTTAAATGTATTTAGTGTATTCCGTTATATTTATTGAAACTCATCAATTTGTATTTATAAATATAATCTTTAATCATTACATGTCATCGTTTATTTTTCCAGACATTGCATATGTATAGAAATACATTATTTTTAATAAAATGTACACATACACCTGAATGTGGGGTTGTCAGTGGGCTTAAATTTAAAGATTTTTTTATACAATTTTTATTGTTATAAGTGTTTGGGTGTATTTTCAGATAAGAAAAAGAAGTTCTAACAACGATACAAATGGCAATAAAATATCAGAACTACATGTTATGAGGTACAACATTTAAAATATTATATACTTTTAATAAATGGATTTTAAATAATTTCATTTTGCGTTATTTGTTGTTCAATAAAATTCTATAAATTACGTTTCGAGATATTTTTAGTTTAATGATATTCTATAAATAACGTTTTGCGTTATGTTTTGTTTAATATGTTATATAATATATTTTGTTAATAGTTATATTTTGATTTTCGGTATTGAATTATTTTTGATCATCGTTTTCCGTTATAATTACGTTTACAAATTTCAATCGTTTTCTGTCAAATATAAGGTTATAATCATAACCTCATTAGAACGTCTGCAGGCTCTGGATTGAATTAATTTTTTCCAATAAAATTGCATTTGAAAATGTAATTGTGTGTATAAAATATTATAATATACTTTAGAAGTTTCAAGTACTTGCAAATAATATTTTTAAATAACAATAAAATAATTAAAAATCGTTATTTTTCCTTTAACTAAAAAAAATAAAATATTTGAATAAAAAAATACATTGTAAAATCAATACATGTATCACTCTGCTCAGAATCTAAAAACAAAAGACTAGTATATTATGAGTAGAATAAGAATTCAAAAAAATAAAGTAGGTAAGTAAAATTTTTTTAGTTCATCTAATTGGCAAGTAAAGTACTTGATCATTCACCACAATATAGTATCTTACTATTATATTGCTTTGGAAATACACTTTTAAGTTATAATACTGATTCGTGTGAGTATGATTTATTGATTTATATTCAAATAATTCACTACGTAGATAACTAAATGTTGATAACATATGACTTACAAGCTAAATATTATATTGTTCGTCTGAACACGACAAAAGGTACAATAAATTCAATAAGATGTATCGTTTTTAATAGCATACATATAGTCACCCCCCATTGAAAAATCCTGTGGACGCCACTAGTTAACATCAATGAAAATTGGTATAGATACCGGTTCTATTACCACAATACCGTCATCCCTATCAACATTTTTAGTATACCAGTATCACGATTTTCCACTATGTAATAAATTATGGAATAGCGTTTCATAATGGACATAATCTAATACCGAAATACCAGTATTGTATTTCAATATACCTATCAAGAGTCTTCAGTATTAAGCCGGATTCACAGCTACGTCGTGTGTATTTTCGTGGGTGGACTTGGTCATTATGTTTACAACTGGTAACCAGTATTGTTTAAAAGTTTGGCTGTAGTCAATTATTGATATACCTACTCGATCGCAACTTGGTTATTACATTGATATCAAAAAAGTAATTCCAATCACAAATCCGGTGAATCCGGCTTTACGGCTTTTCGTTATGTGCAGGTATTACATTATACTATTATAGTATAATTTATTATAGGTACCATAATATACCGGTACTGAATCTAATTCCACAATACCGGTATCCGAGTTTAATATCACCAACACTCATATATCTTGGTGACACTGAGCATCATACCCCACCAGCATCAATTAAAACCAGACCTTGAAACCGTTTTTCCTTAATTTTTATGTTGTTTTTCCCGGCACTTTTGAAAACTACTGTGAATTTTAAAATTTGACCTTCCGTATGCACCAACTAGATTCACTTTCCCATCGAACAAGATACTGTTGAAGAAAATCAAAGCAGTTTTACTGCCCCAAACAGTGATGACAGACATAAAAATTAAAAAAAAATTAAAAAAAAATAAAAAAATAAAAAAAAAACACACATCATTGTAAAATCAATACATTCATCGTTCCACTCAGAATCTAAAATGAACATATTGAGAACCTCTATTTAGTGACAGGTATTTGTAATTAAGTGGAATCATTTAGGTCATATTATAAAAAATAATTAATTAAAATAAATAAAAAAATTTTAATATTTGAAACCAATAAAAAATTATTATTAAAAAAAAATAAGAAAGAAAGTTTGACACACTTGGGCGACCCATGTCAACATTTCAAATTCAGAACCCTAGTTGGGTGATTATGAAATCGTATAGCAAATTCATGGAAACACGTTGATACAATTTGGCTGTGTCTAATTTATCTAATTTATCTTAAATGGACTATTTTGGAAAATCAATTTGGCAATATCTTTAAATTATTATATTATTAAAATTATATAAAATTGGGTTTAGGTTTTCAGGACAATTTTCATCTACACTTTGTAGTATGTATTATAAAGGGATGGATTTAGGAGGGGCTAGTTGCCCAGCCTGCTCCAGGCATATTATTTCTTCAATTTTCATTGAATTTTTCACTAAATATTAGCGTCCACTAAAAACTTTTGGCGGTGTTTATATTATAATATTATTGTTGATAAATGACTCAAATAATGTAGAAAGCTGACTTTAATCATTGACATATTATTTACAGAAAAAAATTGTTTACAAATAATTACTATAATATTATAAACGGTTTTGATAGAGTTATTATATGTAATATCTATAATATTTCAATGTTTGTGACGTTCGCCCGATAATAGGTTCTCCCGTTAACGTTCCACTGACGCTAATTTCAACCTTGGGGTGACTGATGGTTATAATTTAGAACTCTATGTAATTACATCAATATTGCTAAATTCTAATATTATTCTAATGTTTATAAGTTGTGCATTATTTAATCAAACTCGTTATCAATTAAATTATAAATATTTTTATTATTCATTTCCAATAGTTAGATTAAGAAGGATTTTTGTGAGTAATTATGTCGGGCACAGGGTCACCTAATTATTTTTCGCTGCTTGTTTCAGAGTGGTTATCGTGGGTCAACAACCGTACGTATATTATATTCCAACGCCACATGGTTTAATAACTTAAAAGTCACAACTTTATATTATTATTAATAATAGTAACATGAATATGTTACATGTAACAGTAACATGTATAGTAACATGTTCGTTATCTGAAACGTACATGATAACAAGAATATAGTAAGAACATTGAACATTAATGAACAGGAATAATACATACCTATTTATGAATATTACAATGAACATTTATTCATAGGCCGTCAAGGTCAAGTAACAAGGTCATCACGGGCGACATACTTTTCTAGTGGACAGTAACGCCATTGAAACAATGTTGGTGCACTCATGTTTTTCCAGAAGTGTCAAGCACAGTTTTAAAAGACACCCTAACCAGGGGTAAGCATTATATATGCTTACCGAAAAAAAATCGATCAAAAATAAAAATTTTCTCAAGTGTACCTTTGAATATTACCCCATTACCAACAATCAAAAATTTATATATTTGTGTTATTGATGTGAGTTCGACTTACCTAGGAAGTCTTTCTGACTCCCGGAAATTTCAACTTCACTGGTACTAAATAAATGTAAGCTGCACCAGCTTTATTGAAAACAATTTTAAAAAACAATTCATTTATTATTGTAAATTGTTTGTGCTCACTATCAGTTTTATGCAATATATACTGTACAATAAATAATAAATAACTAAAAATTTAAATTTACTTACTTAGTAATATTGTAAAAATATAGTGGGTATTATATGGTGTACTAGATTGTTAATTAAACTGTAAATTGTAATACTATCATAATTTTATTCATAAGAGTATAGGTGAGACACACTATCATAATTCATAACCAAGAAGGTGAAAAGGAGATAACCGTTCTGATATATGCAGTACCTAGGTGTCTAGTGTAATCTCGTCATTGAGTAAGTCATGGTAATGTATATTTTAAATTTGAATACGAAAAACGATTAAGTTGAAAATCTAGGCATTTTAACTACTCCAAATGTGATGACAAATACAAATAATGAAATAAAGACACATTACATTAAAACTCAATACAAATGCTGCATATCTAAAAAACGAACATTTAAACAGTAAAAACAAAAGTCAGTGATATCGAACATGCATCATGTAATTAATTTTGTCCTTAAGGTCGGAAGAAAAATATGTGTCATTAAAATCAAATATAGTTTTTTTATAATTCACCCATAATGCTGCATCCCAAATCTAGATGACCTTGTTGTATTAGAATTGTCTTTTTACTTTGTGGGTGTACTATAATTTGTGTAAGTCGTTTAAAAAATTCAGTTCATTAAAGCCTGGGTCTAGGTAATTTGTATTTTTAAAATCTTTAAAATTTAAATAATAGATCTATATTAGAGACACCCATACATAATATATACATGGATGCGACATACCATGTTTTTAAGTGTGATCGAAGAGCATATATTGCTTACCAAAGTGGTTACATGAAATTAATGTGTATTATCACAACAAACCGTGATAAGTGAAACCACTATACAAACATTTATATAATATTTTAGTTTGTAGTTTTTAATAATAAATTAAGACTGACAAAATAATGGGTAATTACAATGGTCCATAATAATAATAATAATACAACAACCATACTGAAATTCATAAATTACCAGATTACGGGTTTATAAAAATTGTTCTGTATCGTATAACCAGTATCTATTACCACAAGTATCAATTATGATAACTAGTAGACTATTCGCTCAAAGTGTATACCATGTTGGTCAGTATTCTCATTTAACCTTTGGTGGAGATTTACACTACCAGGCCATCAGTCCTTGTCTCTGAACCAGCTCAAAACAAGTTATGCAGATATCGGCTTTTTGGAACTACCCAATAATAGAATTTTAAGGAGGATGATATCCCGGAGATGAAAATAGAGTTTTTAGAACAGATACCTTAGCTGGCTTCCCATGACGCGTGGCTCGTGTTGGATTAGTATCATAGACGAGGCTTGGGAATTGTGATGCTCGGTACAGCGCGGCTCGTCATAGTACGCATTCCCTCTGCACAGTTCCTTGGTACAGTCACAGGCCACGAGCCTTGAGTTAGGCCTATAAACTAACAGACAGCGCTTAGATAGAGAGGTCAGGGGTACGATATAGAGTAAAAGAAAAAAGAGAACTTGGGGAAAACAGTATTAGTTTGATAGGTTTATGATTACCCCCACTTGATGTTCTTTCTTTCTTTTCCTTCTTCGTTCTTTCTTTTTTTCATTCTCTTATATGATTCCCGTTCATTTATGCCAGGGCGGAGTAGAATGCGCTGTAGCTTGTGGATAAGTAACTAGTTATACGAAATACTGAGATATGCATTTTGTGATTACATTGGCATTTAAAAGGTATTTTATATTATTTTATTTTATATTATGTCATGTTATCTATACTGAGACATTTTAACCTACCTGTATAGGTATGTGCATATGTCAGCAGTTACTATTTACCTCCTTGTCCAAACTTCCAATATTCCATATTATGTACTATAAATGAATAAAAAATGTATACTCCCATCATTGATAAATTCTGGCACTGGACTTAAACGCACAAAAGTAGATAGGTACCAAGAATAATTATAATAAATAATATTTTTGTGTATTAGATAAACTGTTATACGAATATAATTGTACTTTAATAATAAAATTGATTCATGTGTGCTTAATTATAAAATAAAAAATATATTATTGTCTCGATTAATAGGTAATTATTTTTGATTTAACATACTTTTTTTCTAATTCACGGGCGCTTTTCTACTATATGACTCGTCAAGTGTGTAATATATTATTATTATTATGTCGTGATTATTTATTATTATAGAATATAGATTAAGGACCTATAAATAGTTATAATATTATAATAATAATAATAATAATAATAATAATAATAATAACTTTATATCAATTGTTCTCCTCGTCTTCTTCCGATGAGGTGTAGCCCGTGTTGCTGAACGCTCTGTGCAGTTGCGGAATTTCACCATTGGGGCCGAGGAAGTGTAATAACCATTCTTCTTCAGACAGTCCCAAATCGATTCCTTGGTGGACGAACATCCAGTAATGAACCAGATTCAAGTAGACGAACATGTCTACGAATATCTCTATATCATGTACAAATAAAATATCGATTACGGTTAAGAATACAATTATAATGTTTCTTCGTATTGGCTCGAGAGTCGACACAATAAAATTATTATTGCGAGCAATAAATAAAAATCAAATTAATTTTCCCGATCTTTCGTCTTCAAAAACTCACTCATCAATTGTGACGCGAGTATCGCACTGCGGTTTCTGAGTATTGTTTTCTTCTTTATCTGCTTTTTAATCGACCTCGAAAGACACATGTCCGGCGTCTAAATACGTACACGCATATGTAGGTACCGGCTAAAATCACCGCACTGCCACAGTATAATATTGTGTTTCCAAAAACAAGTCTGCACCTGTGTATTATAATATGTTATTCTACTTAACAGTTAATAAATAAATATCTAAAGCTAGGTCCATACATATTATTGTTTAGATCATTTATAGGCAATAATAAATAATATTATGATACATATATCAATGGATTGCTTAAATCTTTTTTAAAAGGGGGGTATGAATTTTTACTATTCTCAGACCACGTAACAATATAACGGTAAGTATACTTTATTGCTTTAATATATATTTTATATGAAAAAATTAACCCATTGAGAAGAGGATATGACATCAACGAATGACAATATATAAAATATGACAACGAACACGCCTCTTAGATATATTTTTATATATTAGTCTTAGGACGCCTGCCGTTGGAAGATGCATGCTGTTCGTATTTGAAGTAGGTATGTCAAAAAATTGATAATTTTACTATAAATAATTTAATAGATGACAATAATGTATATTATAGGCACGATAGCACACTAGTGCAGCACGATAGATACGACGAATATGATACCATGGAATATCCCCAAATTTATAAAAAAAAATATAGACTAATATTATAATTAAAATAGATAGATACCAACCTACTTAGATAGTTAGATCTTTATAGATCTAAAGAGAGATAGCAAGATGATTATTATACCAACATGTGAGACGTTTACACGACGATATTAAATATTACAAACTCGAGATACAAGATTGACTGTGTACATGTAATAATATGATATTATTATTGTGTACCAATTTGTTTTCCGAGTCGACCGATGCACGCGCGTAAGACTTGGGCACTGTAAATGGGCAGCGGACTCTCACAAACTGTAGCTATCGGTCCTACAATATTAATAGGTACTGTAATATACGCCATGCACTGAATTATTGGCAATTATTTATTTAATCGGAGATAAGGCATTAATGACGGCATATGATAATATAGCTACTTAATAATTAATTGTTGATTTATGTATATATTATATTCTTCATACACTGGACTTCCTCTCTCCGATTGTAGAAATTCATATTGTTAAATAGTTCACGCTGTAAACTCCCAAATTTCCATGTAGCTATGTAGGTTTACGGAGCGATTCATTTTACGTAAGATACTCATTATTTAAGACGCTATTAATGTTTTTGAATTAATTTTTTTCATACAATTTTAAATCGTTGTACAATAATATTTTTACTACTTTTCATCATGATCACTTTTTAAGTTTTTACTCTTTTGAATAACAACATACTTTTTTTATTTCATATTCCGAAGTGGCTACGCATACTATTAATCGGAGTATTTTGATCTATATAAATCACATTTCGTACAAGTAGTTTATTAGCTATAATTGTTTAAAGTTTTGATTAGTGGAGTAGTGAACTAATTATTGACAGGGTATTCCAAGTTGCATCATATAACATAGCACTTAAAACACATAAACTAAGTAGGTACTAGTTCAAAATTTGAATTTTTATGTATCCAAGTACTTTCAAAATTATTCGGCTTTGGAATAATGAATACAAAATTCGTATTTTCATTAAAAAAAATTAAGCCAATAGCAATAAACATTGTAAAAATTCTAAAAATCGTTTTTAACTTAAAACTATAAAAAAAATAATATTTTAAAAAACGTCAATAGTTTTTGAAATAATGAGTGACTTGCTTTAAATGTTTTTTTTTTTTTTTTTAATGTTTATGATCAATATGGTAATGTAAGGTCGAAATTCACTTAGTTTAGTCGAATTACACTAAAGTCCAAATAAAGTTATGTTCGAATTGTATGTACTTGCTCAGTTTTAAAAAAATATTATTTATATAAAATGGCGAACCTGTTTTTGCCCAAATTACCCTTCTCTGTTTTAAGCTCACAATGAAGCATTTGGTTTTGACCACACAAATATTCATCATAACGAAAAAAACATTTTGGTTACCACTGTCCTAAAGACTAAAGCGCGTATGATATGAGTTTGTTAAACATCGAAATACATTCGTCTTACATATGAACAAAATCATCTTTTAACATGGCTTGGTTGGATATTTATTCAATAAAGCACAAAATCGAATTGTATGTTAAAATCTTTTGTAGGTAAGTGTTACACTTTAACACTTATCATTTTGAAAAGTTTACACTAACTTTTATTATGTTTTAACACTATACATCACACTTTGGTAAGTATAAACATTAAAGTTTATCATTTAAAAACAAATAAAAATTTTCAACAAAAAGAATACAGTTGTAATCAAAACATTTTTTGTATGATATGATGAATTATATTTTTCACGGGTGAAGCATCCATAGTTAAAAAATATAAACCTATTCATGTTTAACAACATTCAAAATGGTGGTAAAAATTTAGAAATACACTTGGTTGCCCCTCCCCTTTTGAAGAAATTTCTAATTACGTCCTTGTTTTTACTCTTCGTGGTGGCGTTCCAAATGATCGATAAGTGATCATTATATTTAGAAATTGTCTCATAATGTTAAAACCCGTTTCTTTTTGAGATAATAACACGAGTAATATTATTATTATGTGTCTAAAGTGATATCGCTCAGCCCAGCCTGCACAGGATTGTGTTGACGTATCATGTAAAGCTTAAAAGCTTTATATTATTATAATTAAATAAATATAATATTAATAATTAGGGCACAGATGTTTATTTATGCACTTAAAACTGCTGTATTATGCATGCATTTATTCACTAAAAAATTACGAAATATGCAATCAAAATATGCGCTAAAAATTACAAAATATGCATTTTTAGCCAATAAAAACACCAAAATATGCACAAAAAATTGTATTATAATTTAAAAAACAAAAACAGCTATTATATATTGTTATTTCCTAGGAGTTATTTTTATTTATTATTTTTAAGATTCTGAGTAGAACGATGAATGTATATGATTTTAGAATAATGTGTTTTTTTTTTTTTTGTTTCTGGCATCACGGTTTGGTGGCAGTTACACTGCTTCAATGTCTGCTTGAAATGCCCAAATGTTAGGAACGACATTTGTACTTGGACGTTAGGTCGTAAGAATTTCAAAAAGGGTCATACAAATTCGTACCTGTCGCATACTAAATATTAGGACAAAAAAAAATATGAAAATCGTATGGGGGGGTTCTGGGGTAACGTACGTTGTCTGTTGTCCTAAATACACACAAGAACACTTATGTCTAAACCTGTATATTATACATGTAGCACGGTTCCCAACCTTTTTAGTTATGTGGACCACCAATAAGTGTTGATGGTTTGTATCATTTCATTTTCCAAATATTTAAAGTTATTTAAGTTGTTATTACATTACAGATTACGCTTGGGTGGATTAATCTACATTTTAATAAATAGCTCAAAAAAAGTCAAAATATTTTTTAAATTGTATGGTTTATATAAAACTGCTTATATGATTTTTCATTTCTATGACTGTGTACACCTCCATTATATTTAGCTAGTACAACGTATTCTTGTGCAAAAGAGGACGTGTAATCATGCTCCGATACAAAATAATATTTGTGTTCGTCCTAAAATATTATATAAACTGCTTAATATACTAAATATTAATGAAATTCGATCTTGCCCAGTACCTATCATATCTCCCTTGGGGGGATTACTGGATTAATAACCTTATATAATTAGACATATAGCCTTGCCCGTATACTACACAGACCAAGGGTAGTGCCGGACCACCCGAAATACGCCACTGGAATGATGGATATAACGATTTATCAATATTGTTTTACACAATTAATCTATTCCTTTCAAAAATAAAAAACTGTGGTCTGTGGTGTACATTTTACTTGCATCATTATAATTTTTAAATGCTTTTACAGTTTTACTCAAATTTAATAAATATACTTGGGTATGTACTTAGATAATACTTCTTAAAGTAAAATAAAACAACATTAAATACCTAATTCATTTTAAACGACATAATGTATGCCAAGTTTAGTTTTAATTCGTATTAAATACTTCCTGAAGTTTGATTGTAATTTCAAAAAAATGCTTGAATTTATAAGCTTCTAGACTAATGTGTTTTTTAGGAATCAGTTTTTTGATTTAAAATCAGATGTGCCCAAAATAAAAACAAATATAATGAAATTATTTCATGGGATTTTTTTGAAAAAATCCTTATTTTATGTTGTTTTGAAATTGAAAATTGAAAATTGATTTCATAATGTTTTTATCTTTCAAAGTTTCAGTTCTGCAGTCAACTAATAAGTATGTAATTAAATACAATTTATAATGGTTCCAATTAAATAAACATAATCAGTAAAACTACTTTTTTAGCAAGGTACTTCTAATAAATTTAAAATTTAAAGTTTACATAGGTACAATGTACTTTTTCATCAGCATTCTCATGATGGGGTGATATGTAGGATAGATCCCTAGAATACCCCCTTTTTTTTTTTTTTGAGTTAAATTTCTTTACCCCATACCGATCCACAATGAAGAATCTTCAGAACGCCACTGTACTTTTTAGGGTTCCGTACGGTAAAACGGAAGCCTATTACTAAGGCTCCGCTGTCCGTCCGTCCGTCTGTCACCAGGCTATATCTATATGTCTAAAAACATTTGAATGACTTTAAAAAGAAATGCTTACCTACCGGTTTTATAATTTTAATTTAAAATAACGATTTAAATAAATTGTGGTTTCACTTTTGAATTTTGAGTTATCATATTTGAGATTTTAATATAAATGTAAATAGGTAGGTACTTAATGTCTTGAACAAATGTTTACCTCTATATACAGTGAAAAATGATTTAATCGACACGTGTATATTATAACGGACACCTCCCTTAACGGACAAAATTATAAGGACCCGGAAAAAATATAGGTATTCCAATCTATTTCGATCTGTTTACAAAGCAATTTTTCTATTACAGATACAGACAGTAATATTTCTACCAGATGTCTTCATAGCGATTAGCAGACAACAA